AGTATATAGTATGTAGTATGTAGTATGTAGTATACCCCGAGTCGCACCGAGTGGCCTGAGAGGTCCGCCGGAAGAGCGAGTTGAACCTGACCGGACGGAATAGTGGCCATCCTCCCTAAACCCTAAACCCTAAACCCTAAACCCTAAACCCTAAACCTAAACCCTAAACCCCAAGCCCTAAACCCCAAACCCCATAAACCGCCGCCTCCAGCTCGTGCTTCGCTTCATTCACATTCCCCAAAAACTCCGCGATGAGTGTGCTGCCAACGGCAGCAGGCACTACCGTCGACGGCCTGAATAAACCAAAGTTGGACCAGCTGACAAATCACCAAAACGGCTGGGCTCCCAACCTTAGCTGGTTGTTGGACTGAGCATCTTTCAAGACCATCTCCTGCAAGACCCAGTGCCCCGCAGTCCTCTTGAAAGGATCGAAACACTTTCATCTCCCCTGCCTGCAAGAACAGATCTCCAGCCGAAACTCGAAGATGTTCTCCGGGGATGGCACGGAGCCACAGGCCTAAGAGTCTGAAGCAAACTGAGACTCTGAGACTGCCAGAGACTGCTCCCTAAACCCTAAACCCTAAACCCTAAACCCTAAACCCTAAACCCTATACCCTAAACCCTAAACCCTAAACCCTAAACCCTAAACCCTAAACCCTAAACCCTAAAAACCCTGGGCTCCCATGCTGAGGTGAACCAAAGCCTGATCTCCCGGTCGTGGAGGTAAGCGGTCCAGAAGCACTCTTGCTGCCTGGTACTAGTACAGTATAGTACTAGTATAGTACTAGTATAGTACTAGTATAGTACAAGTCTAGTACAAGTATAGTATTAGTATAGTACTTGTCTCTCCTCTTCAAGCCCCGTTCACGGTAACTGCGGCCTCGTGGACCGTGTCTTGCAGCCAGGGAAAGACCTGAAGATCTGCCACCTGAGGCAAGACACAGCGGAAGTGGAGCTGTGCACCGAGCTGTGCCAATCACATCGTGCCTCCACCTTCCCCAGCACGGTGAAAGCTTCCACTGCCTCCCGGCAACATGACTATGCAAAATAACCACATATGGATTGGCACTCCCTTCGCATGGATAGGCCTTGCCACTGTTGCTCAAGGCACCAGATGAATCATAAGTGTGGGCCTCCGCAGCGAAGCTCCGCACAATTAGTATGTCCACCACGGCACTAGGGCGTTTAGACCTCGAAGTAGACAGTACCAGCGACCGAAGGCAATCCAACATTCGCCAACAAGAAGACATATCTCCTGCCAGGTGCCGGGGGTCCATTGTTTTGTTGTCTGGCAAGGTTTGAGAGCCGAAATCGCCTTGCCTGTCTGGCCGCATAGAAGCAAAACTGCCCACTTCTCCAGCAACGGAGGTGAGAAGATTCACTCCATGCAATGCCAGCTGCACACCTGCCCACAAAAAACTGCAAGTAGTTCATGCCTTTACATGGAATCAAGCTAGCAAGTGTGCCAAGCCTGTGTCAGCTGGGAGTATGCTTTCCTGGCTGCTATGAAATCGCTGACATTCCGGCGACTCTTATGTTGCATCCCGGAAGGCCGGCCTCTCTTGCGGAAAGCAGCCTCCCAAGACGGTTGCTTCGATGCAGTAATGCAAGACAGCTCTTCAAATCGAGCTTGTGAGTAACTAGCTGCAGAGTTGCGCACATGACAACTCACAAGAAACCCAAAAACTCCTTGTAGCAGAGAAGTTGAAAGCTGCCGGTTGCAAAGCCTGCATACCGGCTGGACAGGAAGAATGAGACACATCTTGATGCTGTCCGATTCGTCTTCTCCAGATGAACGGCCTTGAGGCACCATCGAGCTGCAGCAGCTCGGATCACAAAGGAGAACTGAAGCTCGACAGGATATGCCCCTGCGGCTTGCCTCCAGCATGCTTGCTGCAACTGAGTCTGCTGCTCGTCAACACGAGCTTGGCTGCATGTCTGCATACTGGCCTGGCGCCCACCAGGGGCTCCAGAAAAGGCCTCGCATCGCAGTAGAGTGCCAGTGCATGGAATTAGCATCTGCATCCGAGTCCTCTTCATGAAGGAAGCCACAACGACATGCTTCGCAGCTCGGATGTTGAGGAAGTGACTGCTGCACTTGCGGAACGACGCGCCAAGACATTAGATCGCTGCCTGCACTTGCAGTGGATAACTTGGCAGAACTTTCGCAAAAATGAGAGGCACCTTCTACTATCGAGCCGTTCCGCCACAGAGATGCCGACCAGAAGTTGTCCTGGAGAGGAAAAGATCAAGGCTTGCACCTAAGCCCTCACCTCGCTGCCTCCTCAGCTGGAGCTAGGGATGCGCTGACCGCCTGGCGTTATATACTTGGAGAAGCAGCTCATGAAGGGTGCGGTTAAACGCTGCTGTAGTCATGCACTGAATCGTATCTTCGCACCTGAAGCATCACCTGCATAGAGTCTCCGAGAGATTCCACCCTGGGTATGATGGCTTGAAGGGTCGCAGAGCTTTAGCGCAAAGCTAAGCCTCCCACCATGAGGAGTTGATCTGCAAGTGCAAACTGCGCCCCGAACAGAAAGCCTGTGCTAAAACGGAGAACGTGGGGGTCGGGATGAAATGGAATCACATCTCTTCCGCTTCCTGCTGCCTGAAGACACTCTGGTTCGCCAGCGTCAACGGACTTCGTGCATCTAGAACCTGAAAACGAGTCTTCAGCGGCTACTTCGGCTACTTCATGTGGCAAATGATCGCACGAGGTTGGTCATCTCGCATCACTGGGCATGACGTCAAAACACCGCAATGACGATGGGGGCCCAAGTTGCGCAGACTGTGTGGCTCACCTGCACCTTCCCAGTGCGGACAGCGATAATTGCTATCTCCATTCCTAGGTGTGTCCTGACATGAACGGTTTCCGGGATGCCGATCTGTGAGCCTCGAACGTGGTTTGTGTGGTTCCACGATGGTCCTTGAAAGCCCGATACTTCGATCTTGACTCTACAAGTCAACTTGTCAGCTGTGGATCCTGTTTTCTGCAATTTCCCAGTATGGATAACTATCGATGTTGCATGAATGGAAACCAGATGCAGCACCACATGATCTGCGAACGACGTAATATGTCTCGATGTTGAAACTACGTCAGATGCGTGTCTTCTGGCATCACGGAACTCCAAGTCGGATCTCCTTTTTGAATCACAAAGGAGACTCATTCACTGCTGCAGATCGCATTTCAAAATGACAGCCCCCAGGGCTGAGAAAAAGAGTGTTTTTCTTCCGATTTCCGCAATGCAACCAATCTAGAAAACCTTCGACAGGCATTCCCCACGGCAGGGCCCCGGTGACACCCTGCCTGCCAGGATGTGTTACTGTGCCAGTGTGCAAACTTTATGAGCTCAATGTATGCCCTGAAGGAGGTGGTTTGCTGCGGGGGACAGCAAGCAAAGTGTTTACTGCACTGCTTCTTGGCCTGCAACATTCACTAGACATATTGCCGGAAGTTACTTAGCATCTATCTTCATCCAGCAGAAAATTGACAGAAGCAGGGGAAGCATAGCATAAATATCGTCTCGAACCCCGGTCGTCATTGCTACACAGGACTTTGTAAAACATGCGCCATGCACGACTCCTCTGTCCGATGATGGATAGCATGCAGGCGAGTTGCGCAGGTACTTGGATCTGTCATGTCGCCATCGACAACTTGAGCTTGCCTTAACAAAGCTGATTGCAACAGACTGCAGCATTCGGTAGCTACTGATGCCTGTTGTCTAGTCTTGCTGAAAAGCACCTATTTAAAGTCCGAACTTCAGAAGATGTCAATGGAGGTACACATCGTGCCTGTTGGCCAGAATTATGCATCGCTGCATCGCACGCCTTCTCTTTTCTGCCCTCTCTTTCTCTTCCCTTTCTCTTCAAGCGTTCTTTCGCATCCCCTTTTCTCGTCTGGACTTGATTTCGTCTGTGAGGCAGTGCAGCATTGCGTTTGACAGACGTGGCCGCTTTGGCGTAGCCAGGCCCGGCGTAGCCAGGACCATCGCAATCAGCATGTGCCATGGTGAAGAAGACTTAATGTAGATTTGGTTCAAAGTTCGAGGACTTGAACACGACATTTTTTCTGAATCCATGTCTTGTTGGCTCTAGCACTGCGCCGGTCTGACTAATTTGTGCAGCGGCTGGCAGGCTCACTCGGGAAGACGAGCGCAAATGTGAAACACACCGTTCCCTGAGCCTTATCCTTGGGTGCCCCACTGCCAACTAGCTTCAAAGCCTACAGTACCCCTGACATTTCTACCATTGTCATATCTGCAAGTTGCGGTGGACTTCCTAGTTTCCTTCATACACAACTGGAGTGCACTCTGTCCGAGTGCTTCTTCCCTGTGGCATCTTGGTCACTCTCCGCAATCTCTGGATTCTGGCGGACAACACTTTTGCAGGCTGCCTTCTAGACAGGAGAAGGGCTCAAGAAAAAGAGCCAGCTGCCTTGGGCTCTTCCCAGCGTGAGCCCAATTCGCGATTTCCCACTCTTCTTCTCTCTCTGATTCTTACTACCTGCTCCCTCTTCAAACATTTGCAACCGCAGTTGCAGACACTCGCCAGAAGTCGGAGTTGCCGCCAGGTTGAAGCCACTTGGAGCAGTGAGTACCAGCTCATCATCTGCCTAAGGCAAGTATCAGTATTAGTACTAGTATTAATATTAGTATTAGTAATGCTATTAGTATTAGTATTAATATTAGTAGTATTCGTAATAGTAGTAGTATTAGTAGTAATATTAGTAGTAATATTAGTAGTAATATTAGTAGCCTTCGCTGCTGACCCCGAAGACACCCCATCGGTACACGCAGTAGCAGCCGAGCTTCGACGATGGGACTGGCAAAACCAATGACGAGTGTCAAGTCCAGTACTGCACCGCCAAGGTACTCGTTGCCTCCGTGATGCTCATGTGCAGCACACATCAAAGCACTTAGCTCAACACAGCTGGTTCTGCTGTTTATCATCTGGCCTCTGTTGATGACCGCCCAGCCTCAGCTACAAAACAAGCTTTATCGCGCCGTCGCTTCGCTCTTTCAATTTGGGAGAGTGCAGCATGAAAACACAGCCGTAGACATAGGCAGAGCATCCTGGCCAAAAGATCAACGGTAACCTCCCCACCAGAATGGTTCTGTTATACTATATTATATTATACTATATTACGAGTATATTATACTATATTATATTATACTATATTATATTATACTATATTATAATAGGGGTATCTACGTTCCTGCGTCTTACTCCTATGTTGATCGCGGGCTTGCTCCTCGGTTCATGCTTGAATAACTCCTGACGTTATTCTACGTGTCTACTGTAGTTTTCGTGGATTCCTCGTGGTTTGCTGTATTCGCCTTAACCTACTCCAGTGCCGTTCTCTTACTGGCTCTGCGTTGTCGTGCTTTTCTTGTACGTTTATTGTATCCTTCTTGTATGTTGGACAGCTGCTGAGGTACCGCTCGCATTTCCACTTGTACTCCTGTGTTTTGTATTTCGCGTTGTTCTCATAATACCTTAATGAATGTCGCCGAGTCATTCCGGGACGTGCCCCTCCAAACAATAGCCTCAGCAGACTTGCAAACCGTCTATCTGAGGAGGAGAAAACCTCGACAGATGGAGTCGGGCCCCTCCACACATCTATCTGTCAGCGGGAACGTCACACGACCCTTGCAGAAACGGACTTCCGTCAGCGGCTGCACACAAGTTCGTAGGCGACACGATACCAGGAATATCCACATGCTTCATATCTATACGTCCATGAGCTCCAGTAGAGCACTGCTCGGCAACCTTGTACTGTAGAAAACAAGGTTAATCCCATATCCTGAACACGCAAAGCTATTCAAAGTGAGCTTGTTTGGCAGGATCCGTCCACGGCATGACAGCAAAAAGCTTCACATAAACATTGGGAAAGTAAAAGTGATATGGCATATGGAAATAAGCCCAGGTCAGGTCGGGTCGCATCGTAATTCCGTTTATTTTGGAGGTCAAGTCGGGTCACTGATTTCATTTAATTTCGAAACGGATTTCTTGGGCCTCAACTACTTGCTTGATTTTGGATGGCCTGCGAAGGGTCTCCAGCCTTCCCTGCCTCGCATGCGTTTCGCGTTTCGGCCAGGTTGCAGTTCATTCTGTCCTTATGCGGTGCAGAAGTTCGACCTTGCCCAGACTAGCTGTGCATGGTGTGCCGAGGCTTCTGAGATTAGCGACATTAGCGGGAACTGCAATCACAATCAGGTTCCCTGGTATCAAGCGCCAGCCGAGGTAGCATGCTCAAAAGGTTCGAGCAAGTGCCGTGCTAGCCCTTGCACAAGATCTGCCAGGCAACTCGCCATGCGTTGATAAACACGAACTCCGGAAATTTGCCCCACGTCGTAGATGAGTTTGCTGATAACTTCTGCATCTGCTGGCACATCCAACTTGGCTGCAAAGGAATAGTGACAGTGTCGCAGTACAAAGAAGTGCAGACAGAAGTGCAACAGCACCTAAACCCTATGCAGCCGGAGATACCCGGAAGGTTTGAAGGCGCCATACCGCCGCGTCGGTGGCGACGGGCGGAGGCGCTGCTGCGACCCAGAGCTCGTAGAAGGAGACTCCGGCCCTCACCAGCCGTGGTTATCCGAGAATATAAAATATGGAAAACTGAGATGAACCAAGTCACCAGGAGTCTTCTGTGCCTGAGCATTGAATCAAGTCGATATTACAGACCTGGGAAGGCTTTCAAGCGGCATCTTGCGCGGCAACCGAGCAAGGTGCTGGCAACGCGTACCACCAGCTGCCTACCGGTCGCCGCGCAGGTCGTGTTGCCACCCTTCGAACCATCGAAGCGAAGGGCCCATCCATCGAGTCCGAAAGAGCAGTACAGCTCGGGAAGCAACGACCAGCCTCGCCACGTGCGCAAGCTGAGACAAGGCAGACGGACGAAACAGCGTAAGACTGCTCTGGCGCTGTATTGCGCTGGAGGCCACGGAATGGTAGAGACTCCGACTGACTCCGAGACTGGTGTCTGTTTGCAGAAGCGATAACGACCGGAGGCTACCGTCCTGGCTGGCAGGGGGAAGATTCAATGATGTAAAGGTATAACTATTAGCATAATTATCTACATTCTTATTACTATGATGCCACTGTTAGTAGGAGTAGGAGCAGGAGTAGGAAGAGCAGTAGGAGGAGTAAGAGAAGTAGTCGTAGGAGTAGCAGCATTACCCGCAGCAGCAGCAGCAGCAGCAGCAGCAGCAGCAGCAGCAGCACGAGGAGGGGGAGGAGGAGGATAGCAGGAGTAGGAGTAGTAGCAATAACAGCAGCAGTACTAGTAGCAGCTCATGACTCTCGCTATTATTCAGCACGCTACCCAGTAGGATAGAGTGCCCCAAACGATGGAAGCAGGAACCGTTTCGGGATCCTTTATTCCGGAGGACCGGGAAATTGTCGAAATAGAAACCGGGAACAAGACATCATCCTCGTTTTGCAGGATGTCGAAATAGTGGAAATGGAAACCACTTGGCGATCCACTGTTGCGGAGGGCCACGACACAGTTGAACAGGACGTGTATGCTGGAAGGCCCCAATTGAAGGAAACATGGAGACCATGTGCTTATCCAGTATTTCGGAGGATCCTGAAATACATACTGGGGACCCTTGTTCAGAAGGGCCCCGAACAATGAAAACACAGACCATTTGGCGATCCATTTATCTGGGGAATTGTCCTTGTAGGGGAGGGGAGCACCAGTATTACACCAGAGGGCGCCAAATAATGAAACTTGAACCGTTCAGTAGAAATCCAAGACTTCGTCAGCCTCGATAGAATATAATAGAAATTGAAACCATGTGGTATCCGCTCGGTTGTCCATCACCTTTTCGCATGGGTCGTGCATGCACCCCGAAACCAACACACTAATCATGGAATCCAAAACGTCGGTCCGCAAAGCTAGGGCGGATTCAGAGACCTTGCGATCATCTTTTTCGCCTCATTAGTTGCCTGACCTGCCTTCGCTGTTTTGGACTGCGGGTTTCTGACTGAGGCTGCAATTTCGCTAGCGCTTTGCTTTCCGGCCCCTGTGGACTCCATGCAGCCTCTTCTCGTCAAGTCACTCGCCCTCACACCGCCCACCATTAAACTCCTTAAACAAGGATTCGCACAACTTCTTTTGCACCTGTGTGCAGGGTCACAAAGTTAGCGGATTTTCCGCAGCTCAGCTGAAGCAAGGGCGAGGGTGAGGCTGGGCGGGTGAAGCTTGAGAGCAGGGGCAACGGTCGCACTCATCCTTAGTAGCCAAGGATTCGCACAACTTCTTTTGCACCTGTGTGCAGGGTCAC